CAAATGTGCACAAAGGTCTTTCCATGAGTATAATGAGTAGGACGATTACCACTTGTCACACATCAGAAAAAGGAGATTGGAGGGCCGGCCAAATAGCTCAGCAGATTAAAGTGCCTACACGCAGGTGCAGGGCCTGGGGTTCGATCTCTGGGCCCGCTGTGCCGGCCCCACCCCCGGGGTGTGCTGAGAGGGCAATTGAGACAGGGTGTGGTGGTGCGCGCCTGTAATCCCTGCTCTTTGGAGGCTGTAAACAGGCAGATCACTACCAGTCTGATCTAGTAGTGAGACCCTGAGCACCCTGTAGACCCTTCCCTAAAATATAGAAAAAAAAAAACGAAAAAGAAAAAGGATATTATCATAGTAGAGAAAGAAAAAAAATTATGGTTCTCATGATATAATTCAGAAGTACTCTATGCCTGAGCTACATCCAAACCCCTTTTATAACCATTTTTATTTTTTATTTGGAGATGAGATCTTCCTAAATTGTTCACACTGGCCTGGAACTCAAACTCCTCCTCTCTGAGCCTCCCAAATAGCTGGGATTACAGGCCACAGATGCAGCATGTGTTGAATAGTCAGAAGGAATTTGTTTCAATCCCTGGTACCAAAAAATAGGAAAGATTTTGTTCAAGACTGTTGTGATAATAGTGTTGGGTCAATTACATGTATATATCTTGTGCTCTCAGTAACTAATTTAAAGATAACTGTGTAATATATTAACTATTGTTCCTCTCCTATTATCTTGTTTTGAAGTTTTGTTTTACTTTTATTCTCTTTAAAATAATTTTTTTTTTAAAGACTGTTGCAGTTAAGTAGATATCAGGACTAACATAGTAGGAGAGATCAGGTTCAACCCCAAATACAGCCAAGATAATTGGGGATTTATCACCATAGAGGATGGCTGGGAGAAATTACTAAGACATCGAGGATATGAATAATTCTTTAGGTGTTGTCGTTGTTGTTGTTTTTCTGGGGTTTTGTTTTTCTGAAGCAGGATCTCACTGTGTAGTTCAGGGGCCTTGAAATCATTACGTAGCCCAGTGATCACCTGGAACTCCTGCCTCAGCCTCATGAGTGCTGGGTTACAGGCATGCACCAGCACACCTGGCAGGAGAATTCTTACTGAACTGACCTAACAGAATTCCTGCTCAAAACAACCTATAGTGATCAGAAGTTGTCTAGGAGGAGAGTGGGGAATGAGCAACTTTAATATGAAGGTACTGAAAATCATTCTAATCCAATGAGGCATGGTGGTACATACCTGTATCAAAGTGATTGCATCTGTCTTCCTTTCTGCCTCCTTTTCCCTTCTTCCTTTCCTCCTTTCCTTCCTTTCTCCCTCCCTTTCTTCCTTACTTCTTTCTATCCTCTCCACTTGTTATATTTCTAATAAAGTTTAATGAACAGCATTATCTAATGCTCTGTTCTGTCACTGGGTAGGTCAAACTGAGGCCTGACTAATTATTTGATTCCTGAGTATTGCTCATTACCATAACTCCTGAAGGCTTATAGCCATTGTTAAACTTACTGCATTCTTCCCTACCTGGTACTTCATGTGTGTGCATGTATGTTTGTATGTCATTAGACATAAGTCTCCTGAAGTCCAAATTAATGCTTTATTCGTGATTTCATCACCAATAACCTTCTGTGTTCCTAGTAGTACACTGACGGATTAATAACCTTGCATCTGGGAAATGCCTACGTATTTGTACTCTACAAAACGTCTCCTAGTGGTCAGTGGAGTTATTTCAGTACATGTTAGGTTTTCCCTCTGCCTGGCACACTTTGGAGGCTATAAGATAGCCTCTAGCACTTACCCCACAGGAACATATAATAATGACATATTTGTTAGGGTCTCCTCTAGACTATGTGTTTTTTGACATTATGGCCCATATCTTGTTTTAGTCTTAGTAGAAATCATTAAATATCTACAAATTAAATTGAATTGCACTAAATTGAATTAAAGGCTATATTATGGAGGGTTCTCCCAAGAAGTGAAATCCTTAGAAGG